CTGTGTTTCCTTTGAGTGACAGTAAAGCTGCAAAGCCTTTTGATTTAGTGCATTATGATATGTGGGGTCCGGCTCGCATTACTTCGAACGGATTTTGTTGGTTCGTTACATTTATTGATAATTGTACCCGACTCATTTGGGTTTTTTTGCTGAAAAATAAACATGATGTTGCTTCCATCCTTCCAGAGTTTTGTACTATGGTGTCTACTCAGTTTCATGCTCGGGTCAAAGTATTCCTGACTGATAACGGAGGCGAATATGTGAATAATACTTTGGAGTCTTTCTTTCGTGCTTAAGGTATTATTCACCAAACAACAACCCCTTTTACTCCTCAACAAAATGGTGTGTCTAAAAGAAAGAACTGACAATTGCTTGAAGTTGCATGCTCTCTCGTATTGGATATGTTTGTTCCCCATCATTTTTGGGGGTATGGTGTTTTGCATGCTGCCTATTTGATTAATCGTACTCATCGCCGGGTTCTTGATTTCAAGACTCCGCATGATGTGTTTGGTGACCATGTTTCCCATGTCTCCGTCTCCAAGTTGCCTCCTGAAGTTTTTGGGTGTGTTGCCTATGTTCATGTCTACTCTCATCAACGGAGTAAACTTGATCTTTGTGCTCTGCGATGTGTTTTTATTGGTTACTCTTCTACTAAGAAGGGTTATAAGTCCTATCATCCACCTACCCAGAAGGTGCATGTTACTTTGGACGTGACTTTCCATGAAGAAGTAACCTATTATGTCTCTCCCTCTTTTCCAATTCAGGGGGAGCATCTTGGTGTTGAATTGAATAATAATGTGTTTGAAGATACTGCTATCAGGAAGGAAACGACCGGTCGCACTGAAGCAAGCAATCAATCTCTCATATCTGAAGATGAAACCTATGGTCTTTATGAAGAAACGACCAGTTGCCCTTTGGAACTCGACTGGTCGCCTATATATGGAGATGAAACAGGTGCTCTCAGTGTCGAAACGACAAGTCACAATGACGCAAGCGACCAGTCGCTTGTATTTGAAAATAGTGACAGTGATTCTTGTGTGGATGAGTTCGATGCAATACCCCCTCTCTACCCTGCCAGTGCCCCAATCTACTCATGCTAGTGAAACAAATGAGGTAATTTCTAATGATCTATCTGTGTCAACTTATCAGTCCCTCCACAAACCACTCGTGGAAAACCTAAAGTATGTTTGTGCCTAATAAATCACAGCCCTAAACTGACCGAAGGGACCTCCTCTCGGCCCTAGCACCTACTCATGAACCGAAAAGGCCACGTTTCGTTAAGCATTTTGCCCTCCTAAAAACAAAAGAAAAGCTGCAAAGGCAGAAACCACTCGGCTTTCGACCGCGGTATTATAGGTCGAAGCCGAAGGCCGTAAAGGGCACGGCCGAAGATACTGCGGTTAAATTGCCACGTGGCCTTAGGGTCCCACGCCCCATTTAATGAAGTAATGCCTCAGACTATCGCAGTAAGCCCACTAATCGCAAGAAGCATTTAATGCACGAGGGAAGAGGGGAAGTGACTGAAGTCAGGATTTGGTAATGGAAATCAGAGTGGTTAGGCGTCAATATTCTCACAAGTAATCTTACAACTTGGGGTCAGATCACCAACCACCAAACCAGGGCATTAAATGCGTTCCCAAGGCCAAGGAGGCAGAACCCACGATCAGGGCAGTGGCCGAGATTTACCAGGATCTATGGGGGTCACACCACCATGCTTCACGATCCCAAATGCCGATTTGACTACCCACTTTCCCCGATCAGACTCCACCATGCAGATCTTTTCGGGCTCGATTGTCTCTCCAGGACTCCCCCTATAAATACTAAGCTCAAGACTACATTCAAGGGGTTCAAACACCAAACCAAAAGCCTACCACTGAGCAAATTATATTTTCCTGTAATGCACTTTCAATACCTTTATTTGCTTTCCTAGGAGTAGTGGTAGATTGTAAGGAAAATTCATTCATTAATATATCATACGACCCTTGATTTTCAAGGCGCCGGAGTACCATCTCTGTTGTCATCTCATTCACCCCATATATCATACGACCGTCGCTCTCTGAGTAACGCGCCAGAGCACTGCCTAAAACCTGCCACCAACACCACCATTAAATGGCCTTGTAGCTCAGACCGTGAATCTGACGGCCGAGATCAGTTCCTCTCTCGGCCACAATCGTTTGATCAGGAGTCGAACTCGAAACAGGCGCATCATTTAAACCATCCTCGACCCAAACCTCATCACCATCTCGACGCACGGTAAACCGTGCTGGCACGCCCGCGCACAACCACACCGCATCCAAAAGAAGGACGTCACGTGTTAACGCTCATCCCCTCGGCCCGGAGCACCAGGCTATGAGATTTGCGCATCCAACAAAGTACAATATTCTTCTGATATACATGTAAAATCTACATATCTCATTAGACATTATGTGTCAACTCATCTTTTGTCTAAGTCATATACATCATATTTGTGTCAATTATCTAGTGTATTTGTGCCAACTAAACTACATGATGCTTTATCTAACCTCAAATTGATGGATGTCATGAATGTTGAAATGGATGCCTTGAACAAGAATAAAACATGGGATTTAGTCCCTTTACCACGAGGGAAGAAAGTTGTTGGATGCATATGGGTGTTTACTTTGAAGCATAAGGCTGATGGTTCCATTGACCATTACAAGTCTAGATTGGTAGCAAAGGTTTATACTTAGACCTATGGAGTGGATAATTTGGAGGCCTTTGCTCCAATGGCAAAGCTCAATACTGTGCGTGTACTATTGTCCCTCGCTACTAACCGCGACTAGCCCTTATTGCAATTCGATGTCAAAAATGCGTTTCTACATGGTGACCTCAAGGAGGAGATTTACATGGATCTCCCTCCTGGTATTCCTGTAACCTCTAAAAAAGGTGTTGTGAGTAAGCTGCAAAAGTCTTTATATGGATTGAAGAAGTCTCCAAGAGCATGGTTTGGGAGATTTGTAGCATCTACGAAGAAATTTGGCTATATGCAGAGTAACTCAAACCATTCTTTGTTTCTAAAGTGTCATAAAGGTAAATTGATCGATGCATAATTACATATCATTTTGTACCCTTCTAACTTATGATTTGGTCATGTTTTTGAGTTAAACTTGTGCTTTTAATCTATTTTGTGTTTGTTTCGGTTTATTAAGCTTTGGGACTCAATTTAATGCATTTTGGAGTCAAGTTAGCTCCACAATTGTGTCTGCATATCAATCAAATTCACGGATTGGACTATACTTGCTCAGGAAGAATCAGATAATGAGCCATACATCATTGGAAAGATGTGGAAGTCTAGTTTTTGGAGCATTTTACGGTTCATGATTCTGAATATTCTAGAGGAAGTTATGCAAATTTTGGTAGCTTAAAGTCAAATTCGGCAGTATCTGCGTTACTGGGCCAAAAATGACATTTGAAGGTCTTAGCTGGGTTGCATATGCTTGGAAAGATAACACAAAGAGCTTCAAGATCCATATTTTTCCAAATTTTTCAGATTAGAGGAACAAGGCCAAAACGAGATTGTAATGCATTGTCATGCATGACATATGCATGAGCTAATTGTTTGTGGTGGGATTTGTTAGTAGAATTTTGCAGCAGCCAAAGAAAAAAAAGAAGATGAAGTGGGGATTGCAACACTAAGCCTAAAGACAAGAGAAATTGTTTTCAAATGCAATTGTGTGTTAGGAGAAGTGAGTGTGATTAGTGCACTCAATTGTATAATTAGACTTTTACTTTTCATAGGCCTATAAATAGTAAGGTTCTCAAAGCTTGTAAACACACCCTAAAGGGGAGAGCTCTCAAGCACTTCTCTAAAGCTCATCTCCCTTCCCTTCTCTCCCTTCTCTTCTTTTCTAGTTCTTCAAACACTTCTTCCTTTTCTTCATCAAATTCTCTTTCTCAAACACTTTCTCCCCATTCTCTTCTTCTAAATTCTTTATACACTTTCTTCTCTTTTCCAAAATTCTCCAAGTTCTCAAACACATCTCTCTTCTCTTCCAAAATTCTCTAAGTTCTCAAACACTTTTCTATTCACTTCAAAATTCTCCATGTTCTCAAACACTTTTCTTTTCTCTTCCAAAATTCTTCATGTTCTCAAACACTTCTCAAACACCTCTCTCTTCCCTTCCAAAAATTCTCCATGTTCTCAAACACTCTTCTTTTCTCTTCCAAAATTTTCCATGTTCTCAAACATCTCTCTCTTCCCTTCCAAAAATTCTCCAAGTTCTCAAACACCACTTTCTTCTCTTCAAAAATTCTCCATGTTCTCAATTGTTGTACAAACCTTTTTGCTTCTTAATTGTAATTTATTTTTCATTGTAATGTAAATTCTTTAATTAAGTTTTCAAGTTTGATAAGTTTCCAAGTTTCAATTATGGTTTTTGTTCTTATTCATTATGCTTATAAGTTAATATGCTAGTTTGAATGATTGATCGCCATTAAGGCTTGCATGTTATCTATCTTGGTTTGAATTAAGAGTAGACACCATGCTTTAATTCAAATTGAACTATGAATAGGAAGAGTATGTATGAAAATTCAACAACAAGGATTAGATGCATGCTTGGTTGTTTAAAATGTTCTTCTATGCTTAATGGATTTCTAATGCTTAGGTTAGACAACAAATAAATCAAATTAGGAATACAAGGTTAGGACCAAACACCATGGCTTAATCACACTTTAGCTAGAATCAATCTGTGAATCTAAATTGAACTTGGAAACTTATATTCTTTTGTTTTTATTTTTGTTTTGTGTAGGGA